TACTACTACTACTACTACTACTAGTAGTAGTAGTAGTAGTATAGTAGTACTACTACTACTACTACTACTACGACTACTACGACTACTACTACGACTACTACGACTACTACTACTACTACTACTGCTAGTAGTAGTAGTAGTAGTAGTAGTAGTAGTAGTAGTAGTAGTACTACTACTACTACTACTACTACTGGCGGTCTCGTGCACCACATCACCACGGCTCAACCACCTAGGGAAGAGCGTCCATGTGGCTGCCTCATTGCCAGTATGTAGCGCGCACCTCTTCTGGGTGAAAGGGCGGGTCTGACATGCTTGCAGCGTCAGGCGCTTGTCCTGTGGGCAGCTGGTCCAACGGCCCAAAGTGAAGCGCCAGCAACGGTACAGCAGCACACGGGGCGAGCCCAGTACCGCCACCCAGGCCAACTAGCGCGAGAAGACGCGAGACGAGGCCAGGATGGCAAACCAAGGGCGGGTCTGACGTGCATGCAGCAGCAGGCGCCTGGCCGAGGGCAGCTGGTCCCTACAGCAAAAAGTGAGGCGCTGGCGGCGGCATAGCAGCACACGGGGCGACCCCAGTACCGCCATCAAGGCCTACTAGCGCTAGAAGGCGCGAGAGGAGGCCAGGATGGCAGGCCAAAATGGCCAGGCGCCCGACGGCGACACAGCAGTACACGGGGCTACCCCAGCACCGCCAGCGAGGCCAACGAGCGCATGTGAACGTGAGGAGGCCGAGATGGCAAGCCAGTTGGCGAGCCAAAGTGGCTGGGCGCACGGGTGGCCATGCGCCGAGCAGAGGCTAAAGCCACAGGTGCAGCCACGCGAGGGGAGTGCCACTGTGGGCACGCCGCCCTACTGAAAGTGGCTAGCGAGACAACTTGGCATGGACTCACGTGGCCTGTCGAGGCCCTGGAACCTGCTGGGCGTTACCATTCAGGCCGGCTGGCCTGCTCCCTGCGCAATGGCCGCAAAGACCTGCGACGGCAGCGCCTGCTTTTCCCCACCGAGGTCGCCACTGCCCCCCGCCTGCCCTGGGGGCCCAAAGATCTGGCGCTCAAGGTCTTCACCGAGGGCCACGTTCAGGGCTGCAGCATTTGGGATCTGCTGCGAGAGCGGGTCCGTCTGCGGTGGCGGGTCCGTCGGCGGCGGCGGCACCGTCGGCGGCGGCGTCGGGGGGGCCATGATGGCCGCGGCCTCTGGCGGGACTCCGACAGGCGGTGGTGGCGGGTCCTGGCTGTCGCGGGCCCCGCCCGCTGGGGGGGCGCTGGCGGTGCCAACGGGGGTGGCACGCGGGGCGACCCCTGTGCCACCCCCGCCGCCCGAGAGGCTGCCCTCCCGCAGGTTGTGGCGGCGCTCGTAGAGCGCCAGCTCCCTGTGCGCCATCTCCACGCGCTCCCTCTTGGCTTTGTTCCGCGCCTTCTTGCTGTAGCCCGCCCACTCTGGGTCGTTCAGTCCCCAGGCGACCTGCGCGTAAAGGTCGGTCCACTCGAACTTTGTCAGGCTCTCCCAGGTGAGCCCCTCCATCAGCACATAGTGGCCCTCCCACTGTGGCTGGTGTGGAGCGTAGCGCTTGAAGACGGTGCCCACCGCCAGCGGCTCGACCTTGGGCAGGCACCTCAGGAGGTCCACCGCGTTGACCACTGAAATCCCCTCCTTCTTGAGCTTGTCGTAGCGCAGCAGGGCCTTCAAGTCACGGGTGTCCTCCTCGGGGTGCTCCGCGTGCATGTAGTACGCGCGTGGCGGGTCCGACTCTTCCTCTATGAGCTCGATGCAGACTCCGTAGGAGGTCGAGTAGCGCGCACCGCAGTGGCAGTACCAGCGCTGGCCCGTCTCTCCCGCCGCCTCCTGTGCGCATGAGAGCAGCTGTGACCAGCGATCCGATCGGATCACCGAGCAGCATCCCCTGGGATTGTCCCAGGTCATGTTGGCCGCGCACTTGTAGTACATGTTGAACGTGAAGCCCTTGCCACGGTAGAACTGGTCCGTGTAGTCGCCCATGCGGCGGTAGTCCTCTTGCACCGCGGTGTTGCCCTGGCACTCCTCCCTCCAGGCACGTTTGTGTCCCAGGTGGGCGTCTGCGATCCCCGAGGCTTCCAGGACACCCTTCTTCAGCCTTCCCACGTCCTCCTCCGCCTCCTTATTCAGCGCGTCGAGCCACTTCTAGTAATAATGATCAGCAACACATAGTAATATCAAACATGATACATATAACAATACCATTAGTTGAAGCGAATAATAGCACCAAGAACAATGCTACCACTAATATTGTTATTGGTATTATTACCACGAAGGGAATGCAAACACACATAACAACAATACGAATCATAATACCGATCGCAATAACATGTTACTACCAGTCGTAATACTAGTACAGAAATGTTATTATTAGTAATACTGAAGCTGCTGCCATATTTAGGATGCAACAACTTATCATCGTGGTAGCAAAAGTAGTAATGACAAAACATACTAACAATACTACTGATACTAATTTTATCATTCCCAATAGTAGTCGTACTAGTGATACTAATAGTACTACGACTACTACTACTACTACTACTACTACTACTACTACTACTACTACTACTACTACTACTACTACTACTACTACTACTACTACTACTAGGGTCAAACCTCACCTTCGTGTCTACTGAGAATGAATGGGTAAGGGTAAGGGTTCGGGTTCGGGTTCGGGTTCGGGTTCGGGTTCGGTTCCACACAATCAGTTAAAACCAAATAGAATAACATAGAATAGTCGGAGTTTAATCGTACACGAAGCAGGAGTTCGGAAACCCACAATTCCGCCATTCGCTGGTAGGAAAACAATACAGGGGGCTATAAAGCTAATAGTACACGAAAATGAGGTTCGGAAGCCCACTGATTGTAATAGTACACGAAGAAGGGGTTCGGAAACCCACAATTTCGCCGTTCGCTCGTAAGAAAACAATACAGGGGCTATAGAGCCAATAGTACACGAAGGTGAGGTTCGCAAACCCATTGTGGAAACGAGAAAACAGCGTTCCTCTTTTCCTGTTCGCTTTCCTCTTCCTCATCCTCCTCCTCCCCCTCCTCCTCCTCCCCCTCCTCTTCCTCCTCCTCCTCCTCCTCCTCCGTCCTCCCTCCTCCTCCTCCTCCTCCTCCTCCTCCTCCTCTCCTCATCCTTCTCCTCCCTCCTCCTCCTCCCTCCTCCTCCTCCTCCCCCTCCTCCTCCTCCTCCCCCTCCTCCCTCCTCCTCCTCCTCCTCCTCCTCCTCCTCCTCCTCCTCCTAACCATCACGAACCAGAAACGAATAAAACCAGAATGCCTTCCCGAATAAAACCAGAACGACGTCCTTATGAAAACCCACTCTCAAGTGGACCAGAGGGCCACGATCCTCGTGAGGGGTGTTCCCGCATTGGGCGTCGGTGGGCCGTCGGCAGCGCTCCACAGTGGGCCAGGGCCACGATCCATGTGAGAGGTGTGCCGAACTTCAGCGTCGGGCGGCGATCCAAATGTGGCGAGGTCTACGATCCGTGTGAGGGGTGCGCCGATATTGCTCATCGGTGGGCCGTCGGCAGCGCTCCCAGGTGGGCCAGGACACGATCCTCGTGAGCGGCGTGCCGGAATTGGACGTCGGTGGGCCTTCGGCAGCGCTCCCACTTGGACCAGGGCCACGATCCTAGTGAAGTGCGCGCCGGAATCGCGCGTCGGAGGGCCAGGCCCACGATCCTCGAGAGGGTTGTGCCGAAATGAAGCGGCTGGCAGTGGCGGTTGCTCCAAATCCGACGTCGACACGAAGGACAGGTGTAAAACTGTCGTTTTTTGTTCACTTTCTAATACGAATCCAATCTACAGCCTCTACAGCGAATAGTGCACGAAGGTAGGCATTGGCGCGAAAGACACGAAGGCCAGGTTTGAAACTACGGTTTTCGTAATTCCCCTGGTAGGAGTTCTATTAGGCCTGATACAAAAGAAGAGTACACGAAGGTGAGGTTTGTAGCGACACGAAGACCAGGTGCTACCCCTACTACTACTACTACTACTACTACTACTACTACTACTACTACTACTACTACTACTATACTACCTACTACTACTACTACTACTACTACTACTACTACTACTACTACTACTACTACTACTACTACTACTACTACTACTACTACTACTACTACTACTACTACTACTACTACTACTACTACTACTACTACTACTACTACTACTACTACTACTACTACTACTACTACTAGTACTAGTACTACTCTACTAGTACTACTACTACTACTACTACTGCTACTACTACTACTACTACTACTACTACTACTATTACGACTACTACTACTACTACTACTACTACTACTACTACCACTATTGTTTAATTAACATTAATGCTATTCTTATTAATATCATTCGTCTTATCATTATTATTCGTAGTCTTTGTATCATTACTGTTGTGATTATCAATATGATTATGATTTTTCGTATTCATAAGAATCTTGATGATAAGAAGCTGCAGGAACTTTCGGAGCTCCGCGCGGATTTCGTAGATCTGCGCTGGGCCTTCCTGTCGGCGCCTCTGGCGCCGCCCCTGGCGCGCTCCGCGCGTCAGGGAGGGGGCTCTGGCGCCCGCGGACCGTCGAACGTTTATATGTTCTTGCCGTACTTCTCCTCAAGCGATGTTTCTCCATCCGGGTCTCCCGACATCTCCCGAGCCCTTCCCGGGGCCATCTCGCCCTGGGCCCGCTCTGGCACGGCCCTGGGCCCCGCCGGGGGGGCCCAGAGGCCGACCTCGAGGAAGCGCCGCCGGCAGTGGGAAACCCACGCCGTCGGAGATCTGGGGTTAAGTCGGGCACGTCCCATCTGCAGGAGGAATATTCAAGAATAGTCCAAGAATAGTCCAGGGACGATTTTTCTATCATTTTTTTGCATTTGAGTATTTTTTGACTATTTCCGTTTTTTCGTCCAAAATCCGCCTGCAGGGGGAGACGCAGTCGGAGATGTGGGGAGCTCATAGGGCGGCCTCGAAGGCAGCA